TCTCTCTCTCTCTCTCTCTCTCTCTCTCTCTCTCTATATATATATATATATACATATATATATATACATATATATACACATATGTATATATATATCGTTCGTGCTTCCGCAGCGCACAGTGTCCAGTTGATCACTGTACAGCCTTGTGAATTGATAAGAAGAGCGCCCTTGCAGCGCGGGCACTGTCCTCGGTCGCCTTAGGAAGCGACCTCTTTATAATGGGGAGCTTCGCCTGTATGTTGTAGGTATGAAAAGCAATGATCGCGCGCTCAAGCGCCACGCGCAGTGGGTATTCGTCAGACTCCCCGCTGCAGAGGCCCAGACGATGTAGAATAGATTGCGGAATGCAAAGTTGCGTATGCCACACAGCGCGGAATGCCTGCCAAAGAAGTGGGCAGCGAGCGTAGTGAGCCATGGCGTCTGAGGCGCCATCGCCCTCGGACTGGCAGCAGCCAAAAATGCAGGGGCTGCATACGTCACTCGAGTGAAGGCGACGGCTCGTCGCCCAACCTCCGACCCACGTCTTGAGAAGTGCCGAGTGAGCAGCGGGCGAAAAGCTGGTGACCAGGAGCTCTTCGAGCGGCTCCCATTCGATCTGCGAGAGCGAAAAAGACTCGTCTGGTTTCGCCCAGGAGTTGAGGCGGGATAGAGAAGTGACAGGCAGGCGGTCAGGGAGGAGAGAGGCGACGAGGTGGGAGTAAATTCGCCGGCCCAACGGGCCAGGGCGTGCTAAGATCTCCGGTAACTGGTTAACAGTATTAACAATATTTCTAGTTCGCGCGCGCGGGGCGGCCCCGGGGGGTCCCCCGGCGAAAAGTACCCCGACCAACGCCCGGTCGCCGCCCGACCAAGTCTACTCAGAGATGGTTTTCCTTCTGGGCGCGGCCTCTCAGGCTCCCCAGAGCGCGCTCAGAGTGCCCGAAGAGGCCCCCAAGACTGCCCAAGAGGCCCCCGAGACGCCCAAAGAGCGCTCGAAGACGCCGAAGATGACCCCAAGACGGCCCAAAAGGCCTCCAAGACAGCCCAAGAGGCCTCCAAGACGCCCCAAGAGCCTTCCAAGAGGCCTCCGAAGAGAGCCCCAAGAGGCCAAAATCGTTGATTTTCATTGGTTTTTTCGATGCTTTTTGTGTTCTGGTTTTTTCGGCTTCCGGACGCTCCAAGACGGCCCAAGAGGCCCCCAAGACCGCTCCAAGACGGCCCACGAAGCTCCCAAGACGGCGCCGAAACGACCCAAGAGGGCCCCCAAGACGGCCCAAGTGCCGCCCAAGACGGACCAAAAGGCCCCAAGACGGGCCCAAGAGGGGCTCAAGAGGGGAACCGAGAACTGAAAAATCGAGCCCTCCGCCCCAGAAGGCGCCCAGGAGGCCCCAAAAAGGCCCCAAGAGGCCCCCAAGAGGCCCCCAAGACGCCCCAAGAGGCGCCCAAGAGGCCCAAAAGAGGCCCCAAGAGGCTCCAAAACGGCCCCCAAAAGGCCCCAAAACTCGGCTAGCCCACAACGGTGCGACAATATGGGCCGGCGGAATGAGCGAAGCGATTAAATAAACTTCTGCATGCGCAAGCGAGCAGTAGAACACTCGGCCAAAAGACGGGCCTTCTCCACCCTCCACTCACTCATCGCAGCGGCGCAGGCCACGGCCAGCGGTCGGTTCTTGTCGTTGGGGAATCCCTGCGACGCTTCCTCGAGGGCGTGGGCGATCGGCTTCGACTTCCAGTGGACGGGGGCGGACAGGCCGTGCGAACGGGCGTGGAACGAGAGGCCGATCTCCGCTGCGCCACGCAGACGTCGAGCCCAATACTGCCAGTTCAGAACAGAGCCAGCGGCACTGCGCATCAGTGCCGACCGGTTGCTGAGCTCGAGGGAGACCGCCTTCAGCGCAGTCCATCGCCCCACTGCCAGTAGATCATCTCGCGGTAGAGCTTGTGGGGGGGAGGTGCCAGACGCGATGCAGTGCCCAGCTCTCTTTCTTCTTCATCTTCTGCGGCCATACGAAGAGCTGGCCGAGGTAGGAGGTATTGTTTACCGCTCGTTGGCTGTAGAGCATCAGTGAGGTGCTGGTCGGGGCCCCGACGTCGGCGATCATGACAGCAGGGCGCTGCCATCCGGGAATCCCCTTCTCCCACCTGTGCTCATCATCAACACTGGGTCCCAGCAGCACCCCCAGGTACTCCGCCCTGTCAGTGATCGTCATGTCACTCCATCGTGGTACCAGCTCAGCGATCTTGGCACGGATCCTGTCCTCCACCGCAGGGGCGACTGCCTCCGCCAGAGGGATGATCTTACACTTCGCCGTCTTCAGCACCAGGCGCGCCAGGTTCTCCGCCGCGTAGAAAACCCTACTCGTAGGGCGGAGCATCTTGAAAGAGGGAAGGACACTGCCCAGGTCGTCAGCGCAGACACCGATGACCGCGCCCTTGAAGTGCGCTGCTCGCGAGTGCAAGTCTCTGATCAGCGGGCCCACACCCACCGCCCACAGCGTGTCCGACCAAGGGCACCCCTGAAGAATGCCCGAAGCGAGGGCACAGAAAAGCTCGGTAGCGCCCGCAAGGTTGGTGAAGGCGACGGGCAGGATGTAGATCGCCTCAATCATGTTGCGAATGCCCTCGGGGAAGTCCGATTTCTCCAGCGCTATGTTGAGCCATGTTCTGCACATCGAAGGGAACGCGTCACCGAAGTCGTATAGGACCATCAGCGGGTCTTTGTTCGTCAAGTCATCTTGCATGGCGACAATGCGGGCCTGCGCGTCCATAGCCACCACATGTTCGATGAAGCGCCGCTCCGGGGGGAAGCCCTTCTGCGCACCGTGGGCCCCTTTCGCAACGATTGGCTTCATCAGCTCGTTGCCCATGGCAGCAACAATCTTGCAGCCCGTGTTCTTCAGAGAGAGGGGTCTCGTGGCCTTGGCAAGTCTGGTAGCTGAGATTCCATCATCAGGTTCCGACCCCTCCGGCGTAAAAATCAGGAGCGAGTCGTTGAAGTCCAGCGGCACAGGAAAACCTCTCATTGTCTCGATCGCAACCTCTAGGAGGAGCTGCGCCGCAGAGGGGATGCGCTTCCAGGCTGTGTACGGCATACAATCAGGGCCTGGAGCCGAGTTGTTGAGCCTGCGAATGAGGTTCTTCATGTTGCCCAGCGTCGGAATGTCAATCTGGGAACAGTCGTAGGGAACGATGTGATTGTCCAGGTAGCGCCTGACGTGCTTGGCGTGACTCGGCTTCGCCTGAAACACGGGGGACCATTGGCGTCGAAGCTCGGCAATCATGTCCTCAGGCTTCTCAGTGGTGCTGCGGTCGTGAAAGACCTCGATGGCTTCGAGCTTCCGCACCTTACCAGTGGGGGCCCAGAGCTTGCCGCGCCTCTGGATCGCCCCCTGCATCTTGCGGAGGCGCTGTCTCTGGAGGAAGTGGGCCCCCCTCGCTTGCTCCTCCTGCTGTAGGACCCCCGAGCGTTGATCCAGGTACTCCTGCTGGTGCATCTCGAATGTCCGACGGAAGGTCCCAGGCTCGATAAGTGCGATGTTGCTGCTGTCCGAGATGTCCAGGAACTTCGCGCCAAGCTTAGGTCGAGCACGCAACGCGCGGGCACTCTTCCAGTCATTCCTCCACGCGGCCCTCGAGATCGCTCTGCACAACGTTAGGGCAGCCGCCGAGCATGGAGCGCGCGCGTCCGTCATGTCGTTGCGCGTCAGCCTGGCCGCCTCGCGGATGAGGCGCTTGTATTCCTTGAGGCGCATGAAGGGCGGGTAGTTGTCCATGTCAGCCGCCTCTCTCAGCAGGTCAAAGTATTTGGTGAAGAGGGGGCTCTCGAAGATGCACAGCGGGATTGGCTGCCGCTCGCCGTCCTCGGGGGAGCGCGCTGCGAGCCGAAGGTGAACAGGAGCGTGGTCGGGGATTCCTCTGTCGAAGAGCGTGTCAGGCGCAATAGGGATGTCCACCTTCGCGCACCACTGCATCAGCAGCCACGGCGGCGAACTGATGTAGATTGCGTCAATCCGCGCGCACTGCTGCGACTGCTCGGCGTAGTGCGACGGTAACTCGGGGCCCACCTCAACCATGTCACCCAGAGCTTGCTCCCAAAGCAGCTGGTGTGCTGGATGGTGATTTCGTCGGCGAAGGAGGCCTTTGTTGACCGGCGGTGCTGTCAGCTCAAGCGGGGCCTCATCCATGAAGTTGAAGTCGCCCATGACGAGCACGGTGATCCTCTCTGGTTGTCATTCAGCAATGCTGAGCTCGGCACGGATCGCGCCCCTTGTACGTTGGACCTGGTCCGCAGTAAGCTGGAAGCTGCGGACGTTGCAGATCACGATCATGTTGGGGAGCGTGCCCGCTGCAGCCTCTGATACGTATGATTTGATTTGTAGGCGCTGGATACGACCAGGGATGGGCTCCGAATGGCGGAATCGATCAGGGCCCGCAGCTTCGGTCGGCGATATCCCAGGCAAGATCAGCGCAACCCCACCAGCACCACGATTGTGGATTGAGGCGAAGCAAGCCGCTGTCTTGTGTGCAAGGTGAATCTCGTGGTTGAGCTCCGCTTCAGAGCCATGGACCTCCTGCAGGGCGAGCACGGCCGTGGAGTTCAGCACCTGCATCATGAACGCGACCTTTTTCTTCCTCTTGATGGGGGCCCCTGCACAACAGCGCCCTCGAGTTCCACGTCGTAAGAGAGATCGGCTTCGGCGAATTTGAGCCCCGCCAAGGGGCTAGGGCCCTGTTAAATCTGCCACTGTACGTTCTGTGCGTCGAGCGAGGTCTGGAAGAATTGCTCGAACTGCATGCGGACCTCCTCTCGATTGAGACCGTGCTGAAGGCAGCCGTTGTAGTTGAAGAGCAAACGGGTGGGCTCGCCCTTTGTGGACCCGACCACGATGGACAGGACTGGCATGTTGTTGCAGCATATGATGCCCTGCTGACGGTCACTTCGCCACCGTTTCGTGGGATCTTGTGCTTTGCAGAACTGGGCAAGTTTCTTGGTCTGGAACTCCCTCCGCGCCGTTTTCCCCGAGCGGTCAAAGCCGAGGAAAAGTCTAGTAGACTGTCCATGGATACTTTGAACTTCTGTGTTGACCCATTCACCATCGGGACCCTTGAGCTTGCTGTAGAGGGCTCTGACCTTCCGCGCGGATGCGTTGGCGTCCCCGCTGAACTGTATGAGGAAGCGTCTCGCTGGGCTCTTCCCGACCACCTCCCAGTCGGATTCGCTGAGGTCACACCTGTCCACGATCGGCTTGACGCTGTGCTTGAGCTGGTCCGCTGTGTAGTTCTCCGATGCAGTGCCAACGATGACGCCGGCGCCTGCCGCCCTGTCCAACTCGACGAGTTTCTCGTAGTCTTTGATGGGGATCTGTGCCTCTTGCATATATAGTTTCTGTCGCATGTCTGCGACCTGGGCACGTAACTCTCGTTGATATGCTTCCAGCTTGGACGAGGCGGCCTGGAGCGATTGGATCTGCCCTGTGAACTGTTCGTGTTGCTTCTGCTGCTGTCCGACGACCGCGCCCAGCGGGCCTCTGAGTTGTGTGGCGAACTCTGCGATGACCTCTTGCTTGACTGTGGCCAGCTTCGCGTCGAGCTGCGCCGTGAGGAAATCCTGCGATGCTTTGATAGCGGCGTTGACGGCGTCCATGGGGTCGATGAGCTCGGAGGAGGTGGAGGCGTTGGAGGCGTCAGCACGAGGCCTCTTGGCTCTTTCAGCAGCAGCGCGGGAGAGAGCGGCCGATTCTCTCCAAGGGTCGTGTTGATGGACTGCATCTGGTTGACGGTCACCTGCGCGCTGATGAGATCCTTCGCTCGCGTCAGCACCAGCGGGTTGGAGAGAAGCAGCAGGGCGATCAGCAGCAGCAGCTCCACGATGAGCCGCCATTCGCGGTGAGCACTGGGTGCCTGGGGCTGACCAGGACTTGGAATATGGATGCCAGGGGCGGACCTGGACTTCTGAATATGGATGCCAGGGGCGGACCTCGACTTGGAGCAGATGCCAGGGGCTGACCTGGACTTGGAGACAGCTGGATCTCTGGGTGGGAGCCTACCCCGTGAAGGCAGTTCGGGGGGTCCGCCATTTGGCCTTGAGCCAAAATGGCTACGGACTCTCTTTCTCTTTTTCTCTCTCTCTCTCTCTCTCTCTCTCTCCACATATATTTATATATAAATAACTATAGATAGATATGTGCGTAGGGGGCTCCGTGGGTGAGACCCTATGGACGGGACCGTGTGGTTGAGACACTAATGGGACTCACGCGTGGGACCGTGCGGGCTGGACTATATGGGCGGTACCCCATTGGCAGGGCTCTCTGGGACTGGTGTCAGTTTCACTCCGGCATGAGTGGGACACTATGGGTGGGACCCTGTGCCTGGATCCCTGTGGGTGAGATCCATATGGCGGGACCCAATGGGTGGGTCCATTTGGCTGGGCCCCGGACGATCTTACGAGCGGGACCCTGCGTTGTGCGTGGGTCGCTACGTGCTGGGCGCTCGCAGGCGGTGCCCTAAGGGACTGACCTGCTCCCTCGTGGACCGGACCCCGCGGGCGGGACCCGATGCCTGGGACTGCATACGGGGGTGGGGGGGGGCTTGGATAGTGAACCATTGGATAAGGAATCCAGGGTCTGGAGGCTGGCGGAACTCCACTCGTGGATCGGCCGTGGATATCGCCGCCGCCCTCGCGGGCACCTTCCTCGACGAGCGCCCCCAGCGCAGGCGGGGCCCCGACCCTGGGGGGGTGCGTGGGCTGCGAGCGTGCGTGATCGAGGCAGCAGCCCGCCGTGGATCGTCGGGATCGCAGCTGCTCCCGGAGAGCCCGAAGCGCCCGCGTCTTGACAGAAAAAAACACGGGGCTCAGGTTGGACCCAGCTGAAAGAGCAGAGCAAGCGCACGGGCGGGATCCTGCGGGCGGGACCCGGAGCCCTTTGCGACAGTCTCGTACAGGCCCTTACAAGGAGCGCTGTCTGTGGCCGCTTGGAAGGGGGGGTCGAACCCCCCCGCAACTCGTCGCTGGCCAGCAAACGACGAGGGCGGTCGCCGACGTCGGCGACGATATCGACGTCGACGTCGACGTCGACGTCGACGGGACGTCGACGGGACGACGACGACGACGACGACGACGACGACGACGACGACGACGACGACGACGAAAAACGACGACGACGACGACGACGACGACGACGACGACGACAACGACGACGACGACAACGGCCCTCGTCCTCGTCGTCTGTTGCCGTTTGCTGGCGCCCGTCGTCGTCGTTTGCCCGTGGCGAGAAAGGGGGTGGGGAGAGGGAGGGGGATGGGGGGGAGGGTGGGAGGGAGTTCCCCCCTGCATGTCTGGGGGGGAGTCCTTCCGTTCCGACGTGTCGTGGCACCTTCCCAAGGCAAACGCCTGTGCAGCGGGTTCCCTCCGACAATAGGGTTCCACACATCGAAATCCAGAGAAGACAGGCCAACATTTACAGAACCAGGGCCAAGTCATGACGAATCAATTGAGAGACCCGGTCGACGATGCTGTTCGGGGCGGAGGTGAGCAACAAAGAACTGCGTTGAACCTTCTCGCCCCCCAACGGTCCACGAGACATTCCAAAAGGGCGCTGGATCAGCACCGCCCCAGGATGGCCCCAGAGGCCCCAAAGTAGGCCCTCGAGACAGTTCCTGAGCTGAAGAGCTGTCGCGATGATCTCGTGGTGGTCGGCCATCTGTGCCCTCTCGGTCGTCCTTGGCTGTATCGCGGCCCTCTTGGAGATGTTGGGCCCTCTGGGGCCTGGCGCAGGGCCGCTTCAGGCCGTCTTGGAGCCGTCTTCGGCCTCCCGTCGGCGATTGTGTTGGGTCCATTCTCGGGCTGCCTTGGCCCGTCTGTCCCCAGCTGCCGCGAGAATGCTGCGGGCTGGCGGCGAACGCGGAGCGCCTTGCAAACAAGGCACAACGACACACGCGCGTTGAACGTGTTGCGCCTGAACGGAAACACGCGCGCAGATGCTCGCACCCGTGAGAGGGCACCACTGCCCTGCTCGCCATCGCTCGAATGATCGAGGATGCTCCTTGATGGTCCTCGATGGTCCTCGCCGAAGGGAAATGCACACATCCGAGCGATGCCAAGCCTGAGCCACACGCCAGCTGGGCTCACCCCGCGCGGAGGAGGAGGAGGAGGAGGAGGAGGAGGAGGAGGAGGAGGAAGAGGAGGCGCCGCGCGGGAGTACGGAGCGCCAGCGCCCCGGAGAGCCTTCGCGGCCCGAGCCTGCCGCACGGGTCCTCCCCCCGCGGAGGCCTCCTCCTCCTCCTCCACACTCCGCTCCTCCTCCTCCTCCTCCTCCTCCTCCTCCTCCTCCTCCTCCTCCTCCTCCTCCTCCTCCTCCTCCTCCTCCTCCTCCTCCTCCTCCTCCTCCTCCTCCTCCTCCTCCTCCTCCTCCTCCTCCTCCTCCTCCTCCTCCTCCCCCTCCTCCCCCTCCTCCCCCTCCGCGCTCTGCGCGCGTCGCGGCCCAGCCAGGCGGTGAGCACCAAGAGGGGCGCCTCGCGTCCGAAAAAACACACGTGTCGTGGGGACGCACGGAGGCATGCCAGTGCTGCATGTCCTCCCCGGAGGCGCGCGCCCGACCCGAGCATGCAGTGCACCCATCTTGCAGTGGATCGTTTCCCCCCAGCGGCGTGGCCAGAAGGCACCCGCCACGACGCATACACAGCAAGATGCCTCGGTGCGCGCGTCGCCCCTGGGGAGGTGGGGAGGTGGAGGTGGGGAGGTGGGGGGGGGGGGGGGCGACGCCGATGCCTGGCAGAAGCGAACGAGAAGGGATAGCGGGCCTTCACATGCTCGATCATGCCCTTGAAACCCTGCTCTCCGTACGCGTGGTGGCCTGCGATGGTGAGGTGGCTCCTGCGAGCGCTGCAGGGGCGCACAGGTTGTGAGACAGCGGGGGCGGGAAGCAAGAGGCTAGCATGGCGAGGTGGCAAAAAGCAGACGGGACGGTGTCAACTTCTCGCGCCCACTCGGCTCTTCTTACTCCTGGTTCTGCGCGAAGCGCCTGGCCCAGTGCAGTCACGATGTGCGTGGACGGGTGACTGGATGGGGCCAGTCTCACATGGGAGCACAGCTGCCGCGTTTGGCCACGTGGGCTCCTCGAGGCAGGTTCACCGCATCACAGAGACTACGAGAGGATACCAAGCTCATTCAGCCTTTCCCCTCCCGCCCACAGTCTGTGTACCACAGGCAGCCCTCTGGGCTGAGGCGGTCTGTTCACTGGTCCTTCAGCCAGCACGTCCTCCACCCCTTCGGGGAGGGGCTTATCCCTGCCCCTAGCCGACGCCGCAAGGCCCTCCCCCCACCGCCCAAGAGTCGGAGATCGAGGGGGGGGGGAGGCGCGAACACAAAACATCGAGAAGGAGGCGCACCGGGCCCCGCAGGCGTGGCTGCCGCGCTGGGCTGCCGTATGCTCCTGCTGCCCTCGGCTGGCCTGCCGTGCTCCTCCTTTCTTCGCGGCCGGGCCTGCCGCGGCTGGCGCGTCGCTGGCGGGCCCCTGGCGGCCTCTGGCGGGCCTCCCCCCGGGGCCGCAGTCGCGCCAAAGATAGCCGGGCCGTGCTAAGCCTTGCTGGGCCTCGTTGAGCCTCGTTGAGCTCAACAATTCAAAGGGCCTCCTGGGCCCCGTCCGTCTTGGGGGCCACCTGGCGGGGTCAAGGGCCCTCGTGGGGGCTTCTTGGACCGTCTTGGGGCGACTGGGAAGGCCCCTCGGGCCGCCTCGGGTAGTCGGAAGGCCCAAACAGCGAGCATGAAAAAACGAAAACGAAAAAACGGAACGTGTACGATGTTTGCTTCTTGAGACCCTCGCGATGGCCATCCTGGGCAGTCCCGGGCGCCGCTTGGGCCGTCTGGAGCCCAACTCGAGAGCTCTATGAGCACCCCCGGCCCTTCTTGGCGATTGGCTCGCTGGCTGCGCGCCGCCCTACCTGGCCTTGCCGAGGCCGTCTCGGGGGCACGTCCCAGTCTTGTGATCCGGGGGCGACTGGAGAGGTTGGCTCGCCCTTTTGGGGGAATTTGGACGCCCGAAATGGGTACGGACAAAATGGGTACAATGCCCAACAACAAACGTTGTTCCAAACCAACAAACCAACTGCGGCCGCTGTTGGGCAGGCGGCCTTCTGTCTCAAATGGACACAGGCCGCGGCGGCGCGGACAGTGGGTCCTGTTCAAAATGAACAGGAACTGCTGTTGGGCATTGTACCCATTCTTTCCGTACCCATTTCGTTCGTGCCGAGGGAAGTCCCTCCCCTGGGTCTGGACGGAGGCCCGACGGAGGTGGCAGAAGGTCCCTCTTGGCACAAGGTGAATCCAAGAGGGCTTCCGATGCCTGAAGATGGCCTCCAAGACGGCTTCAGACAGCCAAAGATGGTTCAATATACGTAGCCCCCGACATACCTCCGAGGGGCCCCAAGAGGGCCACAAGACCGCACCGAGTGCTTTCAAAGATCTCCAAGGATCCTGGCTAGAAACCAAAATCCGCCAAACACGCATCTGGTCGTCCGTGTGGTTTCCCTTCCCGTCGTTTCGCTTCCGATGAGCTTCTGAGGCCGCAAGATTGCACCAAGACATCGCAAGAGAGCTCCAAGAGGGGCCAAGAGGGCCCCCAAATCGGCCCCAAGACCGCTCAGGCTCGTCCCAAGAGCATCCAGAGAGGGTTACAAGAGGCAGCTTGAGGGCTACAGACGGAAGGGCGGAATTGGGGAACCCCCTTCGTCAAGGAGGCCCAAGAGGACCTCGAGACCCCCCCAAAGACGCCCAAGAGGGCCCCGAGAGAGCACAAAAAGGACCCCAAAGGGCCCAAAGCGGGCCTAAAGATGACTTCAAGAGTCCTCCAAGGGGCTATCGCAACACCAGATCCGCGAAGGCCTCCTCCTCCTCCACCTTCTCCTCCTCCTCCTCCTCCACCTCCTCCTCCTCCTCATGCCTCCTGCTCCTGCTCCTGCTCCTGCTCCGCCTCCTCCTCCTCCTCCTCCTTCGCCTCCTCCTCCGCCTCCTCCTCCTCCTCCTCCTGCTCATCCTGCTCCTCCTCCTCCTCCTCCTCCTCCTCCTCCTCCTCCTCCTCCTCCTCCTCGTGATCCTCCTCCTCCTACTCCTCCTCCACCTCCTCCTCTTCTTCCTCATCATCCTCCACCTGCTCCTCTTCTTCCTCATCCTCCTCCTTCTCGTCATCGTTTTCGTCAACGTCACACTCATCATCATCATCATCATCATCATCATCATCATCATCATCATCATCAGCATCATCATCATCATCATCATCATCATCATCATCATCATCATCATCATCATCATTATCATCATCATCATCAGCAGCAGCAGCAGCATCAGCATCATCATCATCATCATCATCATCATCATCATCATCAGCATCATCATCATCATCATCATCATCATCAGCAGCATCATCATCATCATCATCGTCATCATCATCAGCAGGAGCAGCAGTAGAAGCAGCATCATCATCAGCATCATCAGCATCGTCATCGTCGCCATAATCATATTCATCAGCATCATCGTCATCATCAGCATCATCATCATGATCATAATCATCCTCATCATCATCATCATCATCATCATCATCATCAGCAGCATCATCATCATCACCATCAGTATCATCATCATCATCACCATCATCATCAACAGCATCATCATCAGCATCAGCATTAGCAGCATCATAATCAGATGCATCATCACCATCATCATCATCAGCAGCATCATCCTGATCATCATCAGCATCATCATCGGCATCATCATCATCATCAGCAGCAGCAGCATCAGCACCATCATCATCATCAGCAGCATCAGCAGTATCATCCTCATCACCACCCTCATCATCAGCATCAGCATCATCATCATCATCATCATCAGCATCCTCATCATCATCAGCAGCAGCATCAGCATCATCATCATCATCAGCATCATCATCAGCTTCAGCAGCATCATCGTCATCATCATCAGTCGCATCAGATTCCTCATCATCATCAGCAACAGCATCATCATCAGCAACATCGTCATCATCGTCAGCAGCCTCATCATCATCATCAGCAACAACATCGTCAACCTCATCATCATCATCATCATCATCAGCAGCATCAGCATCATCGGCATCGTCAGCATCATCATCATCATCAGCAACAACAACAGCATCGTCATCATGAGCAGCTGCAGCATCAGCATCATCAACAGCAGCATCAGCATCATCGGCATCGTCAGCATCATCATCCTCATCATCAACAGCAGCAGCATAAGCATCAGGATCATCAGCATCACCACCACCACCACCATCATCAGCATCATCAGCATCATCATCCGCATCCGCGTCAACATCAGCATCAACAGAATCAGCATCAGCATCAGCAGCATCAGCATCAGCATCATCATCAGCAGCATCAGCACCAGCATCAGCATCAGCATCATCATCATCCTCGTCATCATCGCCTTCATCTTCACCATCCGAAACAGCATCATAATCATCACCATGACCCTCATCATCAGCAGCAGCAGAAACGGTCTCATCAACTTCCGCATCCTCATCATCATAATCAGCAGAAGCGACCACGACAACATCACATTGTTGCATCAGCCGTCCTCCTCATGCCTCCTCATTATTCCGCCGCTTCGTCTTCCTCTTCTTCGTCCTCGTCCTCATCCTCCACCCACCCCGAACCCACTCCTCCTCTTCCTCCTCCTCCTCCTCCTCATGACCATCGTCATCATAATACTCATCATAGTGGTCAGCATCATCATCAGCAGCAGCATCATCAGCATCAGCATCATCAGCATCATCATCAACATCTTCATCATCATCATCATCATCATCATCATCATCATCATCATCATCATCATCATCATCATCATCATCATCATCATCATTATCATCCTCGTCATCATCATCATCATCATCATCATCATCATCATCATCATCATCACCATCGACATCACCATCATCAAAATCATCATCATCACTATCATCAGCAGCATTACCATAATCATCATCATCATCATCATCATCAGTATCATCATCATCATCATCATCATCATCATCATCATCATCATCATCATCGTCATAATCATCATCATCATCATAAGCATCAGCATCGATGTCATCATTGTCATTATCGCCATCATCATCCGCGTAATCATCGTCAGCATCACCATCGGCATCAGCATCGCCGTCATCATCAACGTCGTCGTCATCGCCATCGTCATCGTAAGTATCGTCGTCATCGGCCTTCTTCCTCCTCGTGCCTCCTCCCTCCTTCTCGTCGTCCTTGTCCTCGTCCTAAGCGCCCCCCACACGGTTCCCAGAGATGGCCCCGAGAGGACCTCCAAGGCAACCACCTCGCTCCTGGAGCATCTCTGCGATCACCCCTTTTACCAGCTCTGCTTCGCTATGTGTGCCTCCTCCTCCCGTTTCCCGTCAGCTCTGATGGGAATCGTTATCCAACCTCCTCTCGTCGCGAAAAAGAGACACGAGATAGAAATTAGTCGCCATCGTCGGCTCAAAGTTGATGAAGAGATGGACAAGGAGTGCAAGGAGGAGGAGGAGAAAGAAGAAGAAGAAGATACAAGCCCACAGTGAATGGCGCGAACGGCAGCCCAGGCATGAGGCCCAGAATAGGATCGCTGTGGCGGGCGCGAGAGCGAAAGTGAAGACGCATGCTACCACACGATCATGTTAGAGGATGAGCTAGAAGTGGAACTGATGGTTCGATCACTCCCGATGTTGGTGTAAACGACATGCATTTCAAGCTCCACGGCGAAGATTCTGCATTGAGAGGCCGTACCCTATGGCCAACAACAGCCGATCCCAGTGTCAAGAAGATCCTCCGACGTGAGACACCATCCTCATCGATACCATCCATCGTTCAAGCTTGACTTCGCAGACGTCCCATCGCTTGGCGCGGCAGGTACAACTGCGGCCAGAGGCAACGGAAAGAGCCTGACATCTTACTAAAGAGAGAGCCAGGGACGCAGATTCGAGTCAGTAGCACAAATCACCATGTGCCCGCATGGCTCATATGATTACCATGGGGTCCTGCTGGTAGCGGGACGGACACGGACGATTGGTGCAGCTGGCTGCACTCAGAATACATGTCTTTGGGGGGCGGAAAGATACGGATACGTGTTGTCCCCGGACCTCTCTTGGGGTGCGTTCTGACCAGAATTCCGAGGCGAATCCAGCGGTGACAACGAGGATTCCCCAGGAGGACCAGGAAAGGCCGAAAACGACGGGGGACAACACGTATCCGTATCTTTTTCTCCCCCGATGTCTGCTGCCGCCCTTGGCTCCCGACGGCGCCGCCCCTGACTGCGCAGAGCTGCAGCTGTGCCGCTCCAGGCACGTCCGGGGCGCCCCTCCCGAGGCCCAGATGCCTGCAAGACTGCCCAACTGAACGGGCGCCAGGACACACAAATAAATACACACAAGTAAAAGGATTGCCCATATTTTCCTATATTGTCTGGGTTTCTGTCTTCCCCCCCACTTCCCATATTTTCCCATATTTTCCTGGGGGTCGACGATTAATTGTGTCTGTGTGTTTTTTTCCCTCCTGACAACCTCGCTCCAAGACGGGCCGCTTTGACCTCAAGCCGGCTTCAGGACGGCCAACGAGGCCTTCGAGACGCCCCAATGAAGCCCCACAAGCCTTCCCAAGAGGGACTCGAGAGGCAAGCATCACTGATGTTCCCTAGGTTGTCTCGCGCCTTCCCTCGCTCGCAGGTCACGGAAGGCACCTGCTGCACCCCAGCCCTTCCCTCCTCGTCTTTTTCCCCCTCCTATCCCCCCCTTCCCCCCTCCTGCTGACCACGGGAGGGAGGACTGCCACTCTCTGCGGCTCCCAGGGCGCTCGGTCGCAAAGCTTCGACGCCGAGCGTGCGCGCCGGCCTCGGGACAAATCGTGGAGTATGCCCTGCGGGGTGCTCTCCGACCAGCTCGCCGTCCGCCCAGACTTTCATGTGCCCGTCCTCGTTGACCTCGCGGAGGGGGGGGCCGGGGCCGCTCGGGCGGAGCAGGGCCCGGGCCGTGGAGGCTGTCGGCCCACGCCCGCGGAGGAGTTTCACGACGCTGCTGGTGGTGGACGGGGGGGGGCATCGCGGCATCAGTCTTGCCCTCCATAAACCCGGCGGATCAAAGAAGCCACCTGGAGGAAGGGCACCCACTGAAACAGTGATAAAAAAATGCAGCAGAAGGCGTGGTGCCTTGTAAGTGCTAGGGCATGTCTTCAAAAGGTGTCGTATTTGGGTTGACGCTTGGGTCCAATACAAGATCGATAGATATCTCTACGTACACCGAAATTTGATTTCCGAGGGAAAAATGTCGCCACACCGCCTGCCAAGGGGGGCCAGCGTGGGCGGCAGCTGAAAGGCGCACCCTGGACCGGGCCGCGCGCGGTGCCGCGGCGGCGTGGCCAACACTTGGCGAGGCGGAGGAGGAGGAGGAGGAAACGGCGATAGAGACAAAGAGAGAGAGAGAGAGAAAGAGAGAGCGAGAGCGAGGGAGAGAGAGCGCGAGAGCGAGTGAGAGGTAAACCAAACAAATAAACAAAAGACGATAGAGAGAGGGGAGGCAGAGATAGGGAGGGGGGCAGAGAGAGAGGGAGAGGTAGAGAGAGAGAGAGAGAAAGAGGGAGGGAACAAAAACAGACAGGCAGAGAGAGGAAGGGAATGGGACAAAGAGATGGGGAGGATGAGGGCAGGGGAGGGGAGGGGAAGGGGGCAGGGGGATGCGGGAGCTGAATAGGGAGTGGATGGGAGGAATCGGCGGCGAGCGAGGGGAAGAAGTGAGAAGGAGAAGGCCTTCTCACAAGGCGGTGGGACTTCTCAAAAGCCCTCGCGCCTTCTTAGAAGTGTTCCCCGCCTGCGGCGGGGAAGGCTTAGAAAACTTCTGTTCTCAGAAGGCTGGGGGACTTCCGAGCCTTCTGAGAAGGCCAGCCCTTTCTCACTTCCCCCCTTCGCTCGCCGCCGAAGGAAGAAACAGCAGCAGTCGAACCAGCGCACTCGCACCAAGCTAAACGCTCCTCTCGGTGCGAACTGCAGCGGCAGCGTGATAACCGTCTGGCTACCGAGAACAGCCTCGACCAACGCCTCGCGTACATCAGCATCATACTTGTCGTAACACTCAGCATCGTCACCACCATCCTCATCTCACCATGCTCAGCATCATCACCAACACCATCGCCACCATCATCATTAGCATCATCACTCACAACATCGTCCTTATGATCCGAATATACATCATCATCAGAAGCAGCATCAGCATCATCGTCATCGTCAGCGCCAGCATCAGCATGCATATAAGCACCATTATCATCAACAGCATCATCGTCATCATCGTCGTCGTCAGCATCCTTATCGTCATCATCATCAGCATCGTCAGCATCATCACCATAACCGTCGTCAGCAGCAGCACCATCGTGTTGTTCAGATACTCATCATCCTAATCTTCATCATCATCCTCATCATCACCATCAAAATCATTAGTGACATCCTCCACATCGGCATCGGAATCATTGTCATCATGACCAAAGCCGCATCGTTATTAATATCCGCGCCAGCATGATCACCCTCGCTCTTATTTTTCTCATCATCGCCAGGTGATGGCGAGAATGAAGATCATGATCGCCATCACCACCATCATCATCAGCCACCACGACCAGCATCAGCAGCAGCATCACAAAGAACCCATCATCACATCATTACCAACCTAATCAGCATCATCATCACGATCAAACTTAATCATCATCATCATCATCAACGACATCATCATCATCATCATCATCAGCATCACCATCCCCATCACAATGATTATCATCATTATCATCATCGCCACCATCATCATCATCATCATTATCATCATCATCATCATCAGCATCATCATCATCATCATCGTCACCGTCATCGCCATCAACATCGTCATCGTCGTCATCAGCATCGTCATCATTATCACCACCATCATCACCGTCAGCGCAATCAACATCGTCATCGTCGTCGTCATCGTCGTCGCCATCGTCGTCGTCATCCCTCTCCTCCTGATCATCATCCTCCTCTACCTCGAACCCTCCTCTTCCTCCTCCCTCTCCTCCTCCTGCCTTACTTCAAGTCCTCCTCCTCCTCGTCCTCTTCTTCTTCTTCTTAATACTGTTGCTCTTCTTCGTAATCATGAATTTCGTCGTAATCGTAGTAGTATCAGTATCAAAATCCATACTTTCATTCGTCGTAGTCGTCTTCTTCTTATCATCGGTCCACTTCCCATAACATGGTGATTTGTATCTGGCGAATTCGTCTTAACATTATTTTTCTTACTTTTCATATGTTTCACACGCGTGGTATGATTCGATGTGTTCTTAATAGTTTCCTTTGTGTACATATTTGTCTTGCTCCTTCTCATCATCCCCCTCCTCTTCCTCCTGGTCCTCCTGCCTTACATGAACGCATTCCCTCCCCATCCCACGCCCGCCCCCGCGACCGAGAACAGGGCGGTCACCTCCTCACCCAGCTTGAAGAAATCCTGCACGACCACCACCGCCTGCTCGGAGCCCCGGCGGATGGCAAAATAGAGGTCGAACCTGCGCACGCCCCCCCTTCACCACGCCCGCCCGACGCCCAGCACTGAGGGGGGCAATGGCTGATGGACAACGGTCGGGAATTTTGAGATAGCGTGTCGCTGCGGCGGCGCTGGCGACACACCATGCCTTGCGAGTGGATGGCGCGTCGTTCCGCTCCGCGGGGCGGGCGGCCGGGAAAAATTCGGGACGCTCACGCCCGGGGACCGCGACATGAATAGCGCGTCGCACCGAGGCGCGGTGGGCCAGAACCGGCGGAGCGACATAGTGTCACAAACTCCCCGACCACTTGCTGTTTTTTTGCAAGCGCCCACCACGCCCCGAATTTGGCGTTGGCGGGCTGCGACAATGATGTGTCCATACGTCGCCTGGCCAATCCGTAACTTGATTGAGTACCGCATGGTCACCCGTGTGGTCTGCCACATGATCCCCCCGATGGTTTCCCACATGGTTTTCTCACATGGTTTCCCGCACGCTCTCCTGCGTGGTTTCCCGCATCGTCTCCCGCATAACTTCCCGCATGGTATCCCGCATGGTGAACCATCTGATATCCCGTACGGTGCGCTGGCATTGTCTCCCGCATGGTCTCCCGTCCTATCTCCCGCATGGTACCCTGGCATTGTCTCCCGCGCGGTACCCCGCATGGTATCTCCGGATGGATTCCCGCACGGTCTCCCACACGCTTTTTCGCATGAGATCGCGCATGATGTCCAACGCGGTTTCCCGCGTGGTCTACCACGTGATCCCCAGCATAAGCAGCACAGCGATAAGCAGCACAGCGATATGCTCTCCTTACTCCCCGGGAATGCTGATTAGGATATCATGCTGTCTGGGTGTCATTCAGGAGGGCCGTCAAAGAATCTGCGCCACCCCCCCCCCCCCTCCAACGAAAACGCCCCCGAGGAACCCCGCGCACGTCTCGTCGGGTCCTGCGCGGTCTTTCTGTACTGGACCCTGCTAAGGTCGAACTTGCCTCGGGCATAAACTAGAGCAAAGCCATGATATGCGCAATCTATCAAAACAGCAGTACAACAACGGAAACCCGCGAGGGGTGAAAACCTGCACGGGCAGCGCCTTCGTTGGCGCGGGCTGCACGGGCGGGGCCTTCATTGGAGTGGCATGCTGTCCTGGGGGAAGTCCTGGGCCAGCGCCCGCGACTCCGGACTCGTGAACTCGCCGAACCTTGCTGGCGGCAGGCCATTGCCTGTCCCCTTCTCCCCTGGCCCAATCGACAGAAGTGTCCCGTGGAAGCCCGCCCGACGAAGGGTTCGTTCAGCAAGTACCTCACCAAACACTGCCTCCTGGCATCGTCGGCGCGTCGTTCACTCGGCTAATTACTCAGTGTGCCTGGCGAGGAACGTCTCAGGCCACAAGTTGGAAAGCTGTCGCCGGTAAACATTAAACGCGTTGTATACCAAGCCGTTCCCATTCCTGACAACATATCCACGCAAAGCATGTAGGCTCACCTCGGCGCCCACCTCCAGCACTGAACTCTTGGATTGCTCGCATGGAAATGGCAGCGCGGACGCGACACATTGGGCGCATTGACGGGCACCGTACCTGTGACGGGGTATCACTAGCGCGCGACCGCCTGCGTGCAAACCCGAGAGGTCTGAGCCGGCATGGGCCAAGGTGGTTGCAGTTCTTGACGATGGTCGCACACCCCTCACTTACGCACCCCTGCGCCCTCAAGAAAATGCCACGCCTGCTACGCCCTGGGATACTGGCACGGATAGAGACCCCACCCCCACCCCACGGACGACTGGCACGGATAGAGACCACCCCATGTGCACCCCCGTATCGTCTCGAGAAGGGGTCACGCCTGCCACGCCCGTAACAACGACCAGCACGGATAGCGGCCGCGTTCAGGGACCACCCCTGCGCACCTCCTATGGTGTCGAGAAAATGCCACGCCTGTTATGCCTTGGACGACCAGCACGGATAACGGCCGCGCTCAGAAACCACCCCATGCGCACCTCCTATGGTGTCGATAAGGTGCCACGACTGCTGTGCCCTGGCCATCCAGCACAGATAGCGGCCGCGCTCAAGGACCACCCCTGCGCACACACCGGAGTGTCGAGAAAGGGCCACGCCTGCTATGCCATGGACGACCGGGACGGATAGCGGCCGCGTTCAGGGACCACCCCCTGCGCACCCCGCATGGTGTCGAGAAAATGCCACGCCTGCTATGCCCTGGACGACCGGCACGGATGGCGGCCGCGCTCAGGGGCCACCACCTGCGCACCCTTTATGATGTCGAGAAAAAGGTACGCCCACCACGTCGTGCGAATCTTACGCGTATGCCTGGTGTCGTACGCGTGTCTTGCCAGTGACTAGGTCTGCGTATGCATGTCTTGCGTATACGTCTGATATGTGTGCTTCCGTATGTTAACGTATGTCTCATGCGAGTGCCGTATATGTGTTGCATGAGTCTAGTGCGTACGATTCAACGAGCACGCAATGTACATGCTAGCACTGTGTGGTGTGTGTGCGGCTGCACGTGTACATGTATACTGTGCGCGTGTGTATGCGGATGTACGTGTCTGTATGTGGACATGTGTATCATGTGCGTGCCGTGTATGTTTTGCGTGAGTCTGGTGCGTACGATGCAACGAACACGGCAGGTGCGAGCGAGAAGAATGAGGGGTGAGGTTGGAGACGCGGGTGCGACGCGGGTGGGCAGAAGGCCAGAACACCACTTAGCATGCGAGGAGAAAACACACAGCAAAAAAGCTGTTATCCATTGTAGGGCCAGCCTCCCGCGTACAGCCTTGCATACATGCGCGCGGGCATATACCCCAACTTAGAGCTAAGGAAATCTTGCGCTAAGAAAATTGGCTTGGCTCCAGGCGATTTCTTAAACAGTAACCCAGGTCCAGATATTCGAACACTCCGCGGAGAAAAGAGTCTCCAAGAAAACGCCCAGGGTGCAGTCCAGACTCTTGACTCTATTGAGCGAAATGTTCAATCCATTCCACGAGAATCTACGCTTTTTCTCGAAAGATTCCTGACGGGTGTACAATAGGAGCTCGATCACACGAAACCTCCCACAAGAAACCCAACCCCGAGACCCCAGGACGTCTACGAATGTTGCCGTGGGAGCGCCACGCTCTCCAACGGCAGAACCGTCGAAACCCAGGGCACCCTGGAGGCAGAGCAGGGTGTCTCCTGGCATAGGTCTCCACTGCAGGCTCACAGCGCCGGCGCTGCTAGGGGGCAGGGGCGAGCGCGAGGCCGGCGCCCTCGCCTCGCGCTCGCCCCTGCAGGGGGCAGCGGCCAGGGGCAGGGCTAGGGCGCCCTGCGCGCCTCGCAGGGGCGAGCGAAGGCAGGGGCGAGCGCGAGGGCCTGGGGCCCCACTCGAGCCCGCCCCCCGCTCGGGCCCACCTCGGCGGGCCGTCCCCCGGGCACGCCGACGACGGCAGCCCCAGCTGGGCTGAAGTCGACCGAGATCTCGGCCCGCTGCACGGGAGTGTCCTCCTCCTCCTCCGCCTCCTCCTCCTCCTCCTCCTCCTCCTCCTCCTCTCCTCGTCCTCCTTCTCCTCCTCCTCCGCCTCCTCCTCCTCCTCCTCCTCCGCCTCCTTCTCCTCCGCCTCCTCCTCCTCCTCCTCCGCCTCTCCTCCTCTCCTCCGCCTCCTCCTCCTCCTCCTCCTCCTCCTCCCCGTCCTCCTCCCCCGAGCGCGCCGACCACGGCAGCCCCAACCCGGCTGAAGTCGACCGGTAGCTCGGCCCGCTGCACGGGAGTGTCCTCCTCTGCCTCCGCCACCTCCTCCTCCTCCTCCTCCTCCTCCTCCTCCTCCTCCTCGCCTCCGCCTCCTCCTCCTCCTCCTCCTCCTCCTCCTCCTCCCCTCCTCCTCCTCCTCCTCCTCCTCCTCCTCCTCCTCCTCCTCCTCCTGGGAGTGAGAGTGCGCGGCGGGGATACATGCGCGATCCCGGAAACCTTGAACCCAAAAGCGGTTGCATCCCTTGGGGGGCGCATCTTTTACTTCCGCCGCCGTCAGCCGCCCTTCCGCAGGCTCCCGCCGCCCTTCCGCTTGACCTCTCTCTTGCAACCATCTGCCGACGCCTCCGGGGCAACCCTCCCCGCTCCATCAACCAACTATCAGCCATGTCCCCTTGATTCCTGCGGCCCCTGCAGGCGACAATACTGCCCTGTAATGTAACGCAGAGGCACTGACGCGATGTCGACGGTGCGAGTTGGAACCCGAGCTGGTTGTTGCCCACCGTAATGCTATCGTAGTCTGGCCTCGGAGAGAAGTCGAACACGCGCGCCCACAGGTTGAGCTCGTCCATCCTTAGACAGAAAACGGTACACTGGCGGAAAAGATCGCGGCGATCGAGATGGAGCGGTAGCGTCGGGTGAAGCGAAGAACGGGCAGCAGCGGGAGCAGCGGCAGGAAAAGCGGGAGCGAAGGACGGGAGCTCGAAGAGGAGAGGAGGGACGAGGGCAGCGAGGACAGGATGGAAGCAGCAGGGAAGTGGCAGCGTCGGCGGTGGCAGGAGCGACGGCGAGGGCGGCAGCAGCGAGAGTGGCAAAAGAGCGGCAAGGTCGGCGTTCAGGAAGCAGAGGGAGCGCAGACTTACGGCGCAGGGAGACCCGGCGTGCCTGGGCAACTCGCGGACTCCGCAGCCCTACCAATCCCGCTGCCCCGAAGTCGACCCTCCCGTCGTCGCACCCACCGCCCCCCCGTCTCCCCCCCCCGTCTGCCCAGCTTGCCGGGAAGCTGGAAAAGAACACGGACGAGTCCACATTCGCCACATCCAGGGACCACGCGCGGGATACACCTGCGCAGGGCCGGCGTGCCTGCCCACACAAGGGCCGAGAGCTGGAAAAAAAAAAAAACTAGCCAGGTGGCTACAGCATGGGCCACCCTTCGAGCGATACGGGGGCTTGGGGGGGGGGGGGGGACATCATATTTGATTTGCACACCACAAACAATTCAGATCACGAGAAGGCAGCGATCGGGACAACCATCGGGACAACCATCGACACAACCAACAGGACAGCCATCGGGACAATCATCGGGGCAACCATCGGGACAACACTCCGGACAGCCATCGGGACAACCATCAAGACAAAAAACGGGGACAACCATCGCAACGACCATCGGAACAACCATCGGGACAATCATCGGGACAACCATCGGGACAAACACAAGAACAACTATCGCAACAACCATCGGGACAACCATCGAGACAACCATCGACGACCGGGATAACCATCGGACCAACCGTCGGGACAACCTTCGGGACAACCAGCGGATCAGGACAACGATCGGGACAACCATCGGGACTACCGTCAGGACAACCGTCGGGGCAACCATCGGGATTACCATCGGGACAGCAATCGGTACACCCATCGGGGCAACCATCGGAACAACCATCGGGACAGCCATCGGGACAACCATCGGGACAGCAATCGAGACAACCATCGGGACAACCATCGACAAAACCAACAAGACAACCATCGGGACAATCATCGGGGCAACCATCGGGACAACACTCAGGACAGCCATCGGGACAGCCATCAAGATAATAATAGGGACAACCATCGCAACAACCATCGGGACAACCATCGGGACAACCATCGGGACAATCATGGGGACAATCATCAGGACAACCATCGGGACAACCATCGAGACAACCAGCGGGACGACCATCGGACCAACCGTCGGGACAACAGTCGGGACAACCAGCGGATCGGGACGACGATCGGGACAATCACCAGGACTACCGTCGGGACAACCATCGGGACAACCATCGGGACAACCATCGGGACAGCAATCGGAACAACCATCAGGACAACCATCGGAACAACCATCGGGGCAGCCATCGGGACAACGTTCGGGACAGCCATCGAGACAACAATCAAGACAACCATCGACATAACCATCGTGGCAACCATCGGGACAACACTCAGGACAGCCGTCGAGGCAACCATGAAGACAACACCAGGAACAACCATCGCAACAACCATCGGGACAACCATCGGGACAACCATCGGGACAACCATCGGGACAACCATCGGAACAACCATCGGGACAATCATCGGGACAACCATCGGGACAACCATCGAGACAACCAGCGGGACGACCATCGGACCAACCGTCGGGACAACCCGTCGGGACAACCAGCGCATCGGGACAACGATCGGGGCAACCGTCGGGACTACCGTCGGGACAACCACAGGGACAACCATCGGGCGGGACAACCATCGGGACAGCAATCGGAACCACCATCAGGACAACCATCGGAACAACCATCGGGGCAGCCATCGGGACAACCTGCGGGACAACCATCGAGACAACCATCGGGACGACCGTCGACACAACCATGGGGGGAGCCATCGGGACGTTCATCAGGACTGTGATCGGGACAACAATCGGAACAACCATCGGGACAACCATTGGGAAAAAATATTGTCAATCGGGACAAATTCACCCAACGGCCGCCGCGCGGGGGGGCGACTCGTTTGGGCCCGAATTAGTCTCAACCAGGGCAGGAACTCGCGCAGCTTCGCTCCGCCTCGGCCGCACGCGCGTCAAGCACGACACGGCCCGAAACCGAGATCGATTTCCGGGCTGGGTGACTCCACTTCACTTCGATCTCACCCCCCAAACCCCGATGCAGCTCTCGCCCAGATTGGCCACGTCATGTCGATCCAGCTTCCACCTAGAAGACATCAGCCGTTAGGGATGCAAGTGACGTGCTCGAGCAGGCCAGCACCGCAGAAGAGGGGCGCGTCCTCATCGTGACCATGACGGACAGGGCCCCGCCGATCTCGTCCACGAGCCCCCAGTCGACCAGGTTCCCTACCCTGGTGTCAGTGAACGGGCCGCCGACCCCGACCAGCGGCATGTCCTTGCCGGCCTTCACCTTCTCCGACGAATCGGTGTTTTTGGTTCGCGACATGCTTGGGGATGGGAGAAAGGAGGAGAGCCAGTGAAGCCACGGGCACGTGTTGCGCTCAGCGGCTTGCCTGAGAGAAAAGAAGAGCTGAGGGGAAGCAGCGAAGCGAGCACCCCGACCTCGGGCTGACCAAGCTGCTGCGGGTCGGGCTCCGCGAGGGGGGCTGGGATGCAGCAGGAAATCTGAGAAGCTTTCAAGCGAGCAAGCGAGCGAGCGAGCGAGCGAGGCGCCGGTGCAGGCTCATGCGGCGAAGCGCGTGTGTCTGTGCCCCGTTGGGCAAGGCGCGTGAGGCCGTAGCCTCTCAAACCTTGCAGAACTCCGACTCGCACGAAGATCTTCATGGCTGCAAGCCGGAAGCTGAAGTCGGACGGTAATATCGGGAGCTGGAGTTCTGCGGCTGGGAGCTGGAGTTCTGCGGCGATCGTGGGGCCTTCAGGGGGTTCTTGGAGGGAAACTCCCCGGCGCTTTCTTCTGTTCACCATTGCGCAGCGCCAGGATCACAAAGCAACGCGAATACCGCCGAAAATGCAGAAGGCGGTATCCTGCGAACGTGGCCCGGATGCCGCCGAGAAATCCCCAGGGCGTCGCACGCGAAACTCCCCGCCGTTCTGGGGGAAACTCCCCCAGGCCGCTGCAGAGCCTTGAGCACCAGGAAGCTGGAAACACACACGGCTGGATTCACGTGTGGAACATCTGGAGGCCACGTGCGGGGTACACTTGCGCAGGAACGGCGTGCCTGTCCATACAGGAGCCGCGAGCGGTGGAAAGGCTTTGGGCCACATGCGTATCCAGTTCTCGCCCAGGCCTGCCGCGTCATTCAGCTTCCTTGCAAGTTTAAAGACTCGCCCTACACCCTGGATCGCCAACGGCTGGCGTCACCGCCGCCAACGAACCTGGAGTACGCCGAGACGCTCGCGGGGCAGCAGGTAAGACAAAGCCAGGACAGTGGCAAAATCGAACAAAAATGAGTAGGGATCTTTGCTATCTGACCTCCCTGGGGGATGTATCGGGCGCCGCGGCCATCTCAGAGCGCTCCGGAACGCTCTGAGAGCGTTCTGGAACGCAATGGAACCATGTACCCTGAGACCCGACGACGCGAAAATACACAACATCGCGAAACAATCACGACCAGAGACCAGGGCCCCGTCTTTCTGCGCCACTCTTCGAGCCGCGCCGATCTTGTGTGAGGGCTCCCGGGCCCGAGGCCGGGCAAGAACGCCCCGCTCGAAGGAGGTGAGAGGCGCCAGGATCTCAGGGCATCCCTGTCCCCATCCCGCCTTCGCCCGCAGCGTGAGCGCCCTCCGCTCCCCTCCCGCCCCGCGGCCGCTTCCGCCCGTCTCTTCCTCCTCCTGCCGCCGGCCAATCGGCGCTTTCCAGTGCCCGGACCGCCCGAGCGCGCGAGCGGACTGCCTGTGCCGCGCTGCGACACAAAAAACACTGCCCGGACTCCGCCCGAGCAGGGCGCTCCGCTGCCCGCGCCGCGCCTTCCGCTCCTGGATGTCGAAGAGCCTGCTGGCCTCTGCCGCGACCTGCCCGGGGGGGGGGAGGGCTGCCGGCCGCAGGCGACGAGGCCCAGCCGCCGAGGAGCAGGAGGAGGAGGAGGAGAGTGATGAGGTGGATGAGGAGGAGGAGGAGGAGGCGGAGGAGGAGGAGGAGGAGGAGGAGCAGGAGGAGGACGAGGAGGCGGAGGAGGAGGCGGAGGTGGAGGAGCAGGAGCAGGAGGAGAGCGAGGAGCAGGAGGACGAGGAGCAGGAGGAGCAGAAGGCCGATCCACCGAAGAGCAGGAGGACGAGGAGGAGACGACCGCAGAGGAGAACTGCATACACTTCCCGATGTGCGCGTGTCATCCTGGAGCAGGAGCCATGCTACTATTCTCTGCATCGCTGCAACTTTAACCCCCAAAGGGAATCCAGGAGGACGAGGAGGAGGAGAAGGAGAAGGAAGAGGAGGAGCAGCAGGGGAAGGAGGAGGGAGGAGGGAGAGTACGTCTTGACACCCACAGCCGCAGAGCCCCGTAAAGGGGCAGAACCAGTCAAGATCTGTTGTGACCCCTGATCGGTTGGGATGGAAGCACTGTGCCCAATCTTTACCTAGCTTCCCATGTCTCAGGGAGCTTCGAAGGGTACGGATCTGCGGTGTTCCTTATCTGGCTTTGTGAGATGCGCGCGTGACACAACCTACCCAGTATTGTTGCCACCGAAGAAATGGCCCGACACCGATGTTGCAGCTCTCGCAGCTTGCCTGGGTCAGTGCGGAGCTGTCGTGTGCAAGCTCCTGGGGGGGGACACGCTTCTGCGCGCCCCTCGAAGACAGGCCGCGCACTGCCAAAACTTGTCTTACCAACTCTGATGGTGAGGTGGCATCGCTTCCGTATGGGCACGGGGAGGGACAGGGGTATGCCCAAGACACTCGAAATGCGTACGAGGCCTCAGCTCCAACACACTGGCGGCTTAATGGCGACAGCCCTAGAGACGGAAATGAGGAAATCGATGGCCTCTCTCTTCTGAATTAGAAAAGCAAGGGTGCAACTACTCTCCAACCTTCGATGCCTGGTCAGCAGCCATGTTGCTACAAATGCGGAGGCGATCCGAAAGGAGGAGGGCAGGGCCGTCCTCCTGATGAGCTTTGGCCCTGAACGTTCCGCCCAGGCTCCCTTCGGCGAGGGAAAGAGACTGCACCACTAAACCACGATAGCAACGATTGGAATGCAATCGCAGACCCTATGGCCCGAGAAAAAAGACTCACCCGCGACATCTACAATGCCGAGGGGACCGCGCGGCCTAACCAGGGCCCTGCCCGACTCGCTGGGCAGCACCGTTCCCAAGGCTCCTCTGACTCGGTGGCGAGCGAGCGCGGGGGGGTAGTGAGAGGGGCGGGCCTTCCCAGAAGGCTGCTCCAGCCACGGAGTCAGAAGGCTGCTCAGGCCACGAAGCCGCTTCACTCGTCTCGACATTCTTACCGCATCAGATCTGACGGAGAATATAATAGGATGCGTAATAATAATAATAATACTAATAATATTAGGCCAAAAAACTGCCCGTGCAGCAGATCCATCTTATTGCCCAAATGGACAGGATGGTACAAGATGCCCAGTGTTGACGGGTCGTGAACTGATTTGGGCAAAATGTGTTTGGGTATACATCATTTCGCTCGGAGCATGGACAGCAGTACACAAGTCAAGACCTTATTAGGATCGAGACTGCTCGAAACAAGCCAAACCAAGATTTGTTCTACTTCTAGAACGGATGGATGGCTGTGTATCGCGAAATGTATGGGGGTAAGTCGCCATCCCCTGAGATGGCTGCGACCATCCGCGAAAATTTCTACGAACAAACGAATCATGTGCCTAAGGTCAAGACAGTCCCTGCATGGTAAGATAAAGTCGGAGCTGGGATTCGTACCTACGACTGACTAGTCGGCCAGTTGAAGGAACTAATGTATCGTGAGATCGAGGATTTAAACCTTGACCCCCGGATGACGATGCTGAATCAGCATGGCTGGTGGGAGCGCAAGAAAGCCAGCGAAGCTGCACCGGGGGCTGCCTCGGGCTTGCCTTCGTTGGGGAAGACAACGGAACGCGTCCGAGATGAACGCACGAAAAAAGAAGTGACATGCAAATATGGGGTTCAGGGGAAAGCCTGCCCTAGACAAAACACTGGATGGCCTTACAATGATACGAAACCTAAGGCCGCACCGGCTCAGGCCGCACCGGCTCAGCCCGTACAGGCCTCGAAAAAATGTATGCTGCCCCCGCGGGAGACTCGGGGGAAAGGGGTCGTTCCAAGAAAACAGGCAAGGGTAAAGGACGGAGTCGATCTGCCAACCCCTGGGCCATCTGAGTCCAGACGTCCGAACCTTCTCAAAGACCCTCGCGCAACAAACAAGCCAACGTGGTGCGTTCTGCATCCTCCCCGGGAAGACCCGACAGCCCGGAAGACCCCGACAGCCCGACAGCTACAGACAGCATCGCGGATTGACTGATGCTGAGATGTTGAAGCGAGACCAGTGGGAGGAGGCGAAGATCGGCGGCGAGTGAGGAGGGGAAATGAGAAGGGGAAGGCCTTCTCAGAAGGCGGCGGGACTTCTCAGAAGCCCTCGCGCCTTCTGAGAAGTTTTCTGTGTCTTCGGGGAAGGTTTAGAAAACTTCTCAGAAGTCCGGGGGACTTCCGAGCCTTCTGAGAAAACCCGCCCCTTCTCACTTTTCCCCCCGGGCTCGCCGCCGAGAAGACAAAAGACGGGAAAGGCCTGGGGCACGAGCGCAGTCAGAGGCAAGCCAACTCCACCGCCGCAAGTGGCAAGGCCAACGCCGCCCCTGGTTCCGACACTGGTAGCGATAGCAGTAGCCAAAAAGGTCATAGAGGTACAGTCGGGCTTCATGGGACAGGACACGCGAGAGGGCAAATCCTCCTCCTGATCCTCCTCCTCCTCCTCCTCCTCCTCCTCCTCCATCTCCTCCTCCTCCTCCTCCTCCTCCTCCTCCTCGTACTACTACTACTACTACTACTACTACTACTACTACTACTACTAC